CAGTTCAAATCCACCAGGTGCTCCTTGGAAACCCTAGGGGGCAGTTCTCTGTCCTGTAGGGTCGCTATGAGTCTTGGAATCAACTCTTTGGCAGTGGGTTTTTTTTTTTTTTTTTTTTTTCCATTCCTTCCCTACCTGTCCTCAGACCCAGGGATGGGGAAGAAGAAAGAATTGTCCCAGTGACCACAGACCCCTGGCCTAGAATGTACTTCGTGTGATTGCTGTTTGGGTCATTTGCATGAATAAAGGTTTTTTTAAAAAATTCTTTTAATAGTATTAGAAATTGAAAATAGAGTAAGCCCACAGAATTGAGATGTAGAATTTACCCAGGGCTTTCATTATAAACACGATCTAGCCAATCATTAACCCAGCACAACATGACAGTAAAGTGTGTATGGGGGTAGGGGAAGGAGGTCATATTGTAAAAGGTATTTAAGGTAGCAGACGTCTCAGCATTGTCAAAGAAATGATTTTTATTCTGGCCTTGTTTTTTTGAGTTTTAAATTTATTGTAGAAATTACAGAGAGCAAAAAAGAAGAAAAGTAAATTCCCACCCCTAATTCTCCCTCCTGGAGATAACCATGACAAATATTTTGATACATATCCTCCTAGACTTTTCTAAATCAATTATGAAATCATAGTGCATATTCTTTTTTCCCCCTTTTTTTCTATTGTGGTAAATACATAGGTAACAAAACATTTACCATTTCAACAGCCTTCACACGTACAGTTCAATGACATTAAATATGTTCACTGCAGAATCTTTTCTTGTAGACCGCTTTCTTCACTTAATGGGAATTTTCTTCACATCCTGGGAATTTTTTCCAAAAATACTCTTCTACACCATTCTATGTTGTATGTGTGTCCGTTGTATTCATGTACCACAATTTATTGGACATTTGGGGGTTTCTAACACCTCAACCACCATCCCTTAAGATAACTACTGTGTTCATACCTATAACTATTTCCTCAGGCTAAACTCTAAGAAATGGAATTTCTGAGTGAAAACATATTTTTAAGGCAAAGACACAATTTTAAAATAACCATGGCAACATACCATTCTAAGCTAACAGTTATATACTGTTGATCAAATATTGGAATATCTTGAAAAAATGGTCAAAATTTATAAAACTGATTGTTTTTCATTACCATGATCATAAAATTTTTTACCACTTGCCATTAGTCCCAACCACCCCCCAAAGCACTTCCTATCTCCTTCCCAACTTACTTTTTCCTTAACTCTACAACATCTGGTATTCCATACATTTTGCTTATTTATTCTCATTAAAATAGAAGCTGTCCACTAGAAACAGAAGCTCCATGAGGGTGGGGACCCTTGTATCCCCAGTGCCTAAAAGAGTACCTGGCACATAGTAGGTGGTCAGGACATAGTTCTTGAGTGAATGATTGGATCTTCTAAAAATTTGACATTTGGAAAAACAAAGAACCGATTAAAGAAGAAGAGTCACGAGAGCATTGCCTTGTGTTGGTCTAGAAAAGTGGCAGCAGTACAACTTTGTAAATGGAGCAAAGCTTGCCTTTCTGACTCTCAGCTCACTGTTTTGTCCCAAAGGTGTCAGAAAACCTCGTGCAGCGTGATGGTGACTTCCTGGTTCGTGACTCTCTGTCCAGCCCAGGAAACTTCGTCCTGACTTGCCAGTGGAAGAACCTCGCTCAGCACTTCAAGATCATCCGCACGGTCCTGCGGCTTAGTGAGGCCTATAGCCGTGTGCAGTACCAGTTTGAGAGGGAGAGCTTCGACTCCATCCCCGGCCTGGTGCGCTGCTACGTGGGCAACCGCCGGCCCATCTCCCAGCAGAGTGGAGCCATCATCTTCCAGCCCATCAACAGGACGGTGCCCCTCAGGTGCCTGGAGGAGCGCTACGGCATCTCCCCGGGCCGGGCCTCAGAAGGCAGCCTCAGTGAGGAGTGGCCAGAGGTGACCAAGAGGCTGAGCCTCACCATGGGCGGCATGCCTGGCCGAGAGCAGAGCTTGCCCAGGGGAAACCTCCTCAGGTGGGTCAGCCTTGGCGTTGGGACCGTGAGGGGCCCTGTGGGGGTGCCCAAGTTTAGTCTGGCAGATGAGGAGCTCACTTGGGAACAGGGAAACAATAAAAGACACTGATTAAAAAGGCAAAGTGGTCAATTCTGTCATGAGGCAATGCACGATTAGTTTCTAATTAAGTTGTGCAAAAAATAAATGGTGCGGGAGCTGAGGAAGGGGGAGGCCAGATGACCAGAGAGACTTTGTGAAGGAGGTGGGAGTTGAGCTGGTCTGAAGACTGGGGAAAATTGCGATAGAAGTTGCAAAGGGGAGGGTGTTCCGGGGGGGGGGGCGTGGGGGTGTACAGCATGAGCATAAGTGCAGAAAAAGGCAGAGGAGTTGGGAGTGAATAAATAGTTGTAAGGGAGTGGGAGGGGACAGGTGACCTTAGCCTGATCACACTGATCACAGCAGGCTTAATGCCAGGCATAAGGGTCTGAGGGAGCCACAAAGACTTGAACTAGTGAGTGTGGTGTCCTGAGAATTGAATGTCAATGTGCAAGAGGGGCAAGGAGAGAGATAGGAGGCAGGGAAGCCAGCTAGTGAGTCCCAGGGACCCAGGCTGGCAGAGCAGAGAGAAGGGAGGGTCACGAGATACTGAGAACAAGGCCCCCTAGCACTCTTCTGCATATTGGGACGGTTGGGGAAGGGGGAATAGGGGCCCACAGGGGCGTCCAGGAGAGGGTGGACTTTGAGGAAAAACAAGTGGTTTCATCTGAGATACGACAGTGGGCTTGATGACAGCCAGTGTCCAGCAAACAGTTTTGGGGTTCAGGAGGGAATTAGGACTGAAGACTTAGATTCAGGCTTGGTCTTCATGGAAAAGTTGAGCTGTGAAAACAGATGTTATTTCTAAGACAGAAGATGTAGAGAGCATGACAGAAGCATTATGGACCTTGGGGAATGTGAGAGAGAAGAGTTCAGAGAACTGCGAGGAAAGCCAGGGCCTTATAACATCACAGAGTTAAGGTGCCTTCACCCTGCTGTTGAATATCAGTAATGGTGCCCTCTATTTTTATAGGACCTGTTTTTCATGGGGAGTCCCTGGGTGGTACAAACGGTTAACACGCTTGGCTGCTAATTGAAAGGTTGTGGTTTTGAAGCCACCCAGAGACACTTCTGAAGAAAGGCTTGGCAGTCTACTTTTGGAAAATCAGCCATTGAAAACCCTATGGAGCACAGTTCTACCCTGACATACATGGGGTCAACATGAGTCAGAATGGACTGTTTAGTAATTGGTTAGAAGTCCCTTGGTGGTGTAAATACTTTGTGTCAACTACTAATCTAAGATTTGGTGGTTTGAACCCACCCAGCAGTGCCACGGAAGAAAAGACCTGTAGATCTGCTTCTGTAAAGATTACAGCCAAGAAAACCTATGGAACTCAGTTCTACTCTCTAACATATGGAGTCTCCATGATTCAGAATAGATTCAATGCCGACGGAGTTGCTAGGACCCCAGCTCCCCTTCTCCAGCTCCCTAGCTTCTAGACTTAAACATTTAAACCAACATGTTTTATTCTACTCACTAGTTTTCTTTTTTGGACCAGGAAGAAATATTATGACCTGTAGTTTCTAGATGGTAAAAATTCAGAAGCAAAATACAGAGCTCTGTGAGTAGCACAAGTTGTGGTTCTGTGTGCTGCCTGTGAGGCTCTGGTACATATTGCTCAGTATCTGCTGTGGGCGCAGCCTGCCTGGGCTCAAATCCTGGCTGTACCACTGACCAGCTGTTTGACCATGGGCAAGTGACTTAACTTCTCTGTTCCTCAATCTCTTCATCTGTAAAGATGTGAGGGTTAAATGATGTAAGTTATGCCAAAGCCCTAGAACAGTACTAGCACATAGTAAGTTCTACCACCTCATGTGTGTCAGAGTAGAACTGTGCTCCATTGGGTTTTTCAATGGCTTATTTTTTGGAAGTAGATTTCCAGGCCTTTCTTCCAAGGCACCCCACCCAGGGACTCCATAAACACCAAAACCCATTGCTGTCTAGTTGATTCTGACTCATAGTGACCCTATAGGACAGAGTAGAGGTGCCCCGTAGGGTTTCCAAGGAGCAGCTGGTAGATTCGAACTGCTGACTTTTTGGTTAGCAGCAAGCTCTTGACCACTGCACCACCAGGGCTCCAGGGACTCCATAAAATCCAAAAAAACCAAACCCATTGCTGTCTAGTCAATTCCGAAGAATAGCGACCCTATAGGACAGAGAAGAATTACCTCATAGGGTTTCCCAGAGGCTGGTGGATTTGAACCGCTGACCTTTTGGTTAGCAGCCAAACTGTTAACCACTGTGCCACCAGGGCTCCATAGTGCTAGGTAAATGTTAATAATAATCGTAATTCATTATCTGGAGGGTAGTAGAATGTTAGACTCAGGACAGTTGCAGGAAGGGGGGTAAGAACTGTTATTTAGAAATTCTCCCTTTCATAGTAATAAGATTGGACTTGAGATATATTGTACTTAAAAATATAAAAGGGAACTTCCTGTTTCTTTTGAAAGTGGGGGTTGGCTGCTCAACCATTGAAGCAGGGAGTTAACCTGAATTTCAGAGCAACGCGGCACAACTACTGCTGGCTATAGTGCTGAGGGGGAAGGCCTCAGTCTGCCCTCAGCGACCCTAGTTTTAAAAATAAAAAAAAAATTTTTTTTTTAAGATACGGAATGAAAGACTAAGAAAGTCGAGGAAATAGGCATAACAGAGCCACTTTTCTTGTGGCCCTTTGCAAAGCAGAGCCATCTGAGCCCTGTCACCACTTAGCACAGGCAGGTGGCCGAGAAATGTCTGATCGTGGGGGAGGGGTGGGCTCCACGAGAACGATGGCCCCGGTGGCCCGTCGCCCTGCCCCGCTGCCCTTCGGTGGCTCCCCCACGTCAGGTCTCGGCCTCCCGGCCCCGGGCCGCCGCCGCCCTGACGTCGGGCCCGCTGATTGGCTGGCCGGTGGCGGCTGCCCCAGCCCAGGTGTGCGCGCTCAGCCAGGTTGCATTCCAGGCCCGGCGGTTCTGGGTCGGTGGCTTCTGACCGCCTGCGCTGATCACAACTTAAATATCGCCTCTCAGAAGCCATTTCCTTTTGGAATTTGCCCTCTGTTCTGCCTTATCTCTGAGGGGTTTACTGGAATTTCTCTGTTGCTGGGAGTTTGGGTTCTTCCCCCCCACCCCTTTGATGCTTGCAAAGGTAGGAAAGAACTTCCCGATTTCTGTAACATAAGAATGTTTTAAGTTTGTGGGAGGGCCAATTAAAGTTCTTTACAACTTTGCTGGTGCAGTGCTTTCTTCTCTACCAAAAGAGAGATTGTGCTGCTTGGTGCTAGTTAGAGAAATTCCAGTTTGAACTGGAAGGAGACAGAAGGAATAATAGTGGATGTGTTGAAAGTTACGGTCTACTTTTTCCCCCCCGCGAGGCTGTGTACTGTGCCTCAGATGCTGCTTAGTGATCGCGCTAGCTCTTTCCTTTTCCCAGCTCAGCAGGAGGAGGCTGACTGTGGTTCCCCCAAGTGCAGCCTGAAGTGTGGGTATGTCAGCCTCCCGGGGTGATCCTGCTGCTTACTTGGGGGATGCTGAGGTTTGCACTGAAATGGAGATTGCCCCATAGCTTCCTCGCTGAGTAGGGCGATTATGACATTGTGAAGCCATTGTGGGAAACGCATGTTAAACAAGCCATTCCTCTTGGGTCTGTAAGTAATTTTAGGCTCTGTTAAAAGTACACATTCCAGTTTATCAGATTTTCCTGAGAGTATAGTCAAACTTTTACCCTGCTCTGTTCGACAGGATGGAAAGGCTCAGAGGAGGCATCCTGAGGCTAAATGCGATTGGTCATGGGGAATCAAGGATGGAGCCCAGGGCACAATCCTATTATTAATAGCCTCCTTCAGTCATTCCCTCCTCCAGCAGACATTCCTTTACTGTTAGAGTATGCTGTAGCACTCTCATTCTGAGCAATTTTTTTTGGTTTTTTTTTTTTTTAGCTTTCCATGACGCTGCCTAAAAGCTTTATGATTTAATGACAACTCTCTGGTCCGTTTGTCTTTTGCTTCAGAAATAAAGAGAAGAGCGGTAGCCAGCCAGCCTGCCTGGACCACATGCAGGACAAAAGAGCCTTATCCCTCAAAGCCCACCAGTCGGAAAGTTACCTGCCGATTGGTATGTCTTTGGGAGTTTTCGGGGAGGAGGAGGACATTGTGACTCTGGTTTCCTCCAGACTCTTTCTCTGCTCCATCTAGTCACCTAATTTAAAAGTGGTATCATGTTCCATGCCTGCAGGCTTGAGGGCAAGGGTTTTACAGAGCTATTTGCAGATGTGAAGCACTGAGCTAGACACTTTATGTATGCTAGCAGCTAATCCTTCAAGGTGGGCATTGTTATCCCCATTTCATAGCTGAGGAAACTGAGGCACAGGGAGGTTAAGTAACTTGTCCAAATTCACCCACCCAGCTGGTAAGTGGCTGAGCCAGCATTTGAACCTACATTTTCCGATTCCACGCCCATTTGCTAACTGGTCCTCATGACCAATGAACCTTCTCCCATAGCCCCTTCCTGGGCAGAGGGTGGGGCTCCAGGCAGAGCAGCCAGCCAGAGAGAGCCCCTCCTTCCTCTCCATTCTCCTCTCTTGGTAGGAGAGTGAGGGGCTGTGTGGTGCAGGGAACATCTGGTAAGCAATTATATTAGTAGGACAGTGAATGTTTTTCATTATTTTTATAACTGACCTTGCTTGGGACTACAAAGTGGTTTTCCTAGTGCCTCTTTATAAACTACTGCTCAACTTCTATATGGATTATCTCAGCGTCTTTTTCTCCCTTCTCTGCCTCTCTCTCTCTCTTTAAAGCTGGCTGGGATCCGCCCTGGCTTTGAAAGTGACTCAGGGCCCTTTATTCTATGTGGCTAAACACTTCTGTTTCTTAGGGCAAGGTATTATTCACTGTGCTCTAAGCTATGTCTTTCTCTGTTCTGACTGTGCCAACTTTCTTTGACCATAAAATGATGTTACAGCCCAGCTGCCGGCAATCACTGGGATTTGGAGCTGCCCTAGAAGTGGAGTGGGACCCACTCAAACCTCTCAATTGCTCTAGGTTGGGCACGGGGAAATCATGCTAAGAATTTTCTTTTAGGAGTGAAAATTGAAATGCAAAGGCACTATGAGGGCTGGGGGTCTGTCGCTCTAGTTTTGTGTTCTCCACACAGCTGAGCTGTTTCTGCCCCTCTCTTATCTTTCACAGGCTGTAAGCTGCCCCCTCAGTCCACAGGTGTGGACACAAACCCATGCCCAAACTCACCTGTGTTCAGAACGGGCAGCGAACCCACCCTGAGCCCAGCACTGGTTCGGAGGGTCTCCTCGGACATTAGGGTAGGGGAGGCACTGAGGGGCTCAGACAGCCAGCTCTGCCCCAAGCCACCCCCTAAGCCTTGCAAAGCACCCTTCCTCAAGTTTCCCCCATCTCCATCCACTTGGCTCAACTCAGAGGCCCACTACTGTGAACTGAACCCAGCCTTTGCTATAAGCTGCGACAGGGCAGCAAGACTGCCTTCATGTGCCCAGGACAGCTACGTGGAGCTGCTGAGAGCCAGGCAGAATGGAGCCCTGGGTCCCCGGAACTCTGGCACCAGCTACTTGATCCTTGATGATGATGATCGGGTAAGACCTTGGGAGCCACCAGCAGCACAGATGGACAAGGGACAGGAGGACGAGGGCGAGTTTGTGAAGCCCCTCCTAGAGACTGACTCCTCATTCAGGCCCAACAACTTTGAGTCAAAGCTCCTTCCTCCTGAGAACAAACCCCTGGAAACAGCAATGCTGAAACATGTAAAAGAACTGCTCACCAACCACGACCCTAAGGTCATCGCCCAGCACATGCTGCAGATGGACTGCAAGGTAAATGCAGGGGCAGGCATGGTTTCACTTTGGCTTTGGAAAGCTTGGAAGAGGGATCTGTCTGGGCCTCCCTTCGCCTTACCCTTTGAGTACTTTGCTCAGAGGAAAAGTCTGAAGATAACATGGGTGTGGAGATTTATTTAAGGGATGGGAACCGCAGGCCAGGACAATCTTCACCCAGGCAGGAAGCTTGTGAAATTCACCTTGGGCAGCACACGCACGCACGCACACGCACACGCACGCACGCACACACGCGCACACACACTCCCACACACCCCTGGTGTCGGGCGTGGCTGCAGAATCCTTCTCCTACCTGGTGCTTATTTAAAAATTCCCCTCTGGCCATCAGAACAGGTAAAGCTGAGTCCAAAGGACAGCAGATTATAGGTGAAAATGTCATCTCTGGAGTATTGGAGACTTATTTTTAATTTTGTTACATATATTTATTTATATTGTTATCAGAATGATCTCTAGTATAAATAAGCATTTTGTAAGTTATCTTGATTTTTTTTTTTAATAGGAATACTCATTCAATTTAGAAAAATCATAAAATACAGATTCAAAGGAAAAAATTAAAATCACACAAAAACCAGTTTCCTGGTGATAACTATGGTATACATTTTGGTGAATGCAAAAATGTTACATTATTACAAATAGGTACATGTAAATAATTGCATGCATATATGCAGAAATGGCACCGGACTATACATACTGTTCCCAACCCCCAGTCTTTCATTGAACTGTCTTTCCATGTAACTAAATAAATATATGTTTACATCGTCATCATTTTTGATGGGAAGTATTTCATTTAGTTGTGAAAGGCTTTTGTTCATAGGTGGCTCCAAGGCAACCTCATCCTTCAGAGGGATAATTCTAGATCACTGGCATCTCAGGCTGGTGTGGGCTCAGTAGAGGCCTCTGAAGGACAGATCAGGCTTTGCTGTGTGCCATTGAGTCAGTTACAACTCATAGTGAGCCTATATTACAGAGTAGAACTGCCCCATAGGCTGTAATCTTTATGGGAGCAGATCACCAGGTCTTTTCTCCTGAGGAGTGGCTGGTGGGTTCAAACCGCCAACCTTTCGGTTAGTAGCTGAGCACTTAACCATTGTACCACCAGGGCTCAGATCAGGTCTTAGGGAGATTGAAAACTTTTTCTTCTTTAGCTCAGTTAAGTCAATTAGCTTCAAAGGTCACGGTTTGCACAGGAACTGGGTTTTCCTTCCTGGTTCGTGAATCATGCCAGGAAGTCCAGTCTTTGAGCACTCCCCCAGGGAGGTCCCTGGGGAATCAAGGTCTCACAGGGAGGGGGCCTGGAGACTTCCTCAAAACTGTCTTGAGCTTAGATCAGACAGTTGCCAGTTGTCCTGAGAATAAGAACTTGAGGAACTACTATGGACCCCTTAGGAGCTGGTTTATGTGGTCCATGCCTTTGTGTGGGGAGGGGGAGATGGTGGTGAGGGCCATCACTCCTCTGCCAGGTGGGCCCCAAGAAGAGAATCAGGAAAGGGCAGGAGTGGATTAACCAGTAAACACGGTGTGCACCGGCTTGCATTGAGCAAGGTACGCACGGGTTCAATTGTGTTTACTTGCTGATCTGTGGTGGGCAATTTCCCATGGGTTTCACCACATCTTTGATGTGGTTGGGGAACAGGTGAAATTGTGCACTGCAGATTGATGAGAAGGCACAATTGGGCCGGTGCATACCTTGCTTATTGGGTAATCCCGGCCCTGGAAAGGGGATGCATTGGAAGAAGGGCTTGTCCACGTGATCAGCTAGGCGTCCTTGGGCAGGGCTCACAAGTGGTCAGATAATTTGCTGTGGTTAAATCCTTACCTCACTTTACAGTGAGCTAAACCCATTTGGGTGGTGAGAGGATTGAAGATTTGTCTTCCAGCGATTAAATCATGCTGGGCCCTGGATCTGAGAGCAGAACCAAGCCAGGAGGCAAGGAGTGAGATTCTAGTCTAGTGTGAACCTGCCAGGGCTCCCCTATCAGATGCCCATTGTAGAAACAGCGTAATGCCCCCAGCGGTCGGGGGGTACGCCCATCATTCTTCCTTCTGGCGTTAGGAGGAGGTAAGATGCCTGCCTGCTGTCTGCAGGAGGGTCTGGAGCCTTCCCACCACCTTCGGGAGCCATGAAGCCAGAGCCCTAGGCTCTTCTTAGCTGAAGGGCCTGCAGCTGGTCCTCTTTGTTGCTCAGGAGAACCCCAGGCATCAAGGCAGAGCTGGGAGTAGGAGCAGCTGGACTCTGCCCACCCCCAGCCCCCGAGGGCAGAGCTGTGTTTAATCTTCCTTCCTTCTCTCTCCAGTCCACCACCATTTCCTTATTCTCTTCCTGGAACCTCTGGCTTCAGGACTTTGCTAACGATCAGCTTTTCTAAGAGGGAAATAAAACAAGAGCTGTTGTTCCCCACCCCCAGTACAGCAGCAGCCCAGACAGGGCCCCCGGGAGCCCAGAGCAAGCAGGCTGGGCAGCATCTGGGCCCCACGTGTCCTTCCCACTATGCACAGAGCCCAGGACTGGTGCCCCAAAAGGCCACTGGGACAGTGGGTGGTACTGGAGCCACTGCCCAGCACAGGGTCCAGCCCTCTCCCCTCCATCCCACCCAAGGGATTGGCTAGGGCCAGGGCTGGGGTGGGATGTCCAGTGAGTGCTTTACAAATGGATAATGCCCTGGCTTCCCTCGCCCAGTTCCCAGAGTACCTGTCCATTCTCCCAGCTACTTGTCTTTGCTCCCAGCTAGGAGCCAAGGCCCAGTGGTTAAGAGCTTAGCCTCTGGGTTTGAACTGCCTGAATGTGAACACCCCCCTGTACCATAAGGCTACAGGGCCTTGAGAAAGCTACTTTTCCTTTCCAGGTCTTTCTCTCCCCATCTTATAAAACCAGGTTAATAACACTGGCTCCTCAAAGTGGTTCTGAGGCATGAATGAGATGATACAGGTAAAGCCCTCAGCACCCTGCCTGGCCCAGATGTTTAATGTATGTAAATGTTGATTAGCGTTTTGTATTCAGCCTTGACTGAGAGCCCACTGTGGGCCAGGCCAGGCCTTGTCTCTGCCCTGGAGGTGCCGACTGCGTGGTGGGGGGAGGCTCCGGTGGGGTGTGCAGTGATACAGGAATGGGGACCACAGTCCTGGAGGAAACGCTTAGCTGGGAAAGCACGGGAGCTGTGAGGCCTCTGAGGCAGGGCCTCCACGGGGTTGGGGTGGCATGTCTGAGATGAGTTTTGAAGGCTGAATTGGAGTTGACTGGATGAAGAACACCGAAAGCATTTTCCAGGCAGCAGGCAACCCGGGCATGTCAGAAACCATGGTGGGAGGGATTGGTTTACAGAGGCATTTAATTCTGTGGAGACACTGGGGGGCAGAGAGAGAGGATAGGGACGGTTGACGGTTTTCTCCTCAATGTTTTTAACTCCCAACTACTAAGCTGGTATCAGGTTCCTGCCTTCAAAACACTTTACAGTCTCAGATGGACAACAGCAACCTGAAAGATAGGAACCTTAGGGGGCAGTGAGTTTATGTTAATGGGGGAAGAACAATTCAGAAAAGGAGGGCAAGAGTGGTTGCACAACTCTAAGAATGTAATCAGTGTCACTGAACTGTACATGTAGAAACTGCTGAATTGGTGTATGTTTTGTTGTGTATATTCTCAACAGTGGAAACCCTGGTGGCACACTGGTTAAGAGCTACGGCTGCTAGCCAAAAGGTTGGCAGTTCAAATCCACCAGGCGCTCCTTGGAAACCCTACAGGGTAGTTCTACTCTGTCCTATAGGGTCATTATGAGTCGGAATCGACTTGACAGGAACGGCTTTGGTTTTTTTTTTTAAATTCTCAACAACAACAAACATGGTCCTGTGAGGGAGACAACCCCATAAATACACAAGGAGGGCAGGAGAGACAGCAAGTGGGGCCAGACCATCTCCCTACATTTTAGAAGGCCGCTTGGCAACTAGGAGCAGAGTGACCAGGGTCAGGCAGGCCTCTATTAAGGCTCCCCCTGCAACAGTCCCCAAGGCTGTGGGATGGGGAGGAGTGGGCAGAGTCCAGAGATACTCCAGAGCTAGGATGGCTAAGATTGGTGGGCAGAGGGAGGCTGGAAGGCTTCACTGTGGGGCACTTATGCTGCCCTGCTGAGTCCAGCTCATAATAATGCTCTGTAAGTATTAGTCCTTCTTCCAGATCTGTGAGCCCCACAACCTTGAGTATTTCCCCAGGGACCTAATCCAGGCCCTGCAGTGTGAGCTCAGGGCCCCCTTGTTCTGTAGCTCAGTCCTGAGGCATGCAAGTGTCACCTCTGGTAATGCCCCAGGAAAGTGACCAGGGGACTGTTGTCTACACTGAAGAAAAACAGAGTAGTCTCTCTCTCAGAGCAGGGAACATGGAATGTCTGCTAGTGCTTCCAGAACAAAGCTGAATGAATGAAGAGCCTTCCAGTCTCGGCACACAAGAGTGCCTTGACTGAAGGACACCCTGCAGAGGTGCTGGGCTTAGAGCCTCTGACAGAGGGCAGCTGCCTAAACAGAGGAGGTGTATGTGGCATGCACTGGGCTGCCTTGCCACAGACAAGGTGTAAACCTCTTTCCCAAGGTTGGGCCAGAATCTTCCCTCCTTCCACATGGCCTCTGATTCACAACTTGTGTTTTCAAATGGCTTTTGGAATTCTTACGATCGTTCGATCCTTTGCAAAATCCTTGAAAAAGGTGAATTTAGCAGTTGTGTTAGAAAAGGGGAAACCAAGTCTCAGAGAGCATAGCCGAGACCACAGTATGAATTCCACATCCTGTTCTGGAGTCTGCCACTGGATAGCTAATTCCCACATGCCTGTTCCCCCAGAGCTGACAGTGGTTCCTTTGCTCAACCACAGAAGTTAAGGGTCAGGGTTAATAATACTGGCTAAACTTCCAGATTTCTGTGGCCCATTATGGAGACATCTGGACTGCTCATACACCAGAAATAATGATAGTCAAGAGGACAGCTCCACCAGGTTGAGGAGGAAAATTGTCCAGTGTCCTCCATGTGTTAGTCAGGCCCTCGTATCTGCTAGTTGCATTACATCAGGGACTCCAGAGGCATCTTTAACACCGTTTCAGAAATGCACACATTGTTGTAACTATAAATTGTCAACTAATCCTGATTCCCGTAAACTGTGATTACAAACTAGAATGGAATGGGGTGAGATGATAAGATGGGGAGAGAAACAAAGATTTTCTTTAAGGAAAACCTGTCAGAAGAGTGTGTGTGTGAGAGAGAGACAGAGACCTCAGCTTTCAAATCACTGTATATGTTTTTAATAGTTTCCAGAAGCCTGGTGTATTTACTGAGCCCAGGAGAGGTGTAATTATGGGTAATAGCAGCCAGCCGTGGCTGTTAAGTGAGAACATGAATGGCGAAGCCCACAGCAGAGGAAAGCTTGGACGCGTTCCTGCTTTTCCACCACAGGGGATGGTTCCGCTCCACACACATGCAGCCCTGCTGTTGGCAGCAAAACATCGCAGCAGGATCCAGCCTGTGTTAGACAAGGGCTCGAAGAACTAAACTGTTCCCTGGCTGGGCAGAAACACTTACCAAATCTGCAGAGTCTGTAGACCAATTTAGAAGCTTCCCCTCCCCAGTCTTTCTTTTTAACCCTGGATTTTATATTCCAGTGTGTGTACTAAAATCCCCCAAATAGCATATAAAAAACAGTATTTTCAGATGCCACTACTCTAAAAAATAAATGCAACAAGTACAGTGCATCCACACTGTTCCAGTTTAGTGTATTTCTTTTCACATGCTAAATTAGTGATTGCGGCAAGCCCACTTCCTGAACAGTATATCTGAACTTCTGTTCCTGACAGGTTGCTAGGATACTGGAGGTCTCTGAAGAGATGCAGAGGAACATGGGCGTGAGCTCAGGGCTGGAACTCATTACCTTGCCATTCGGACACCAGCTGCGCCTGGACATAATAGAAAGGTGAGCATTCCTGTCGTCTGCATTCCAGGCCCTCTCAGCTTGTCACAGGCTCAGCAGAGCAGCAGGCTTCAGAGGGGAGAGAGGCACGGAACCGGCCCGGCCCAGAAGCCACTGGCACATCACTCGAGGACACTTTTCCCAGAAGGCTTAGCCAGAGGATTCCTGGAGATGTACAAAGAGACTCCACAGAGGAAGTCAGGGAACAAAGAACACGTTTCTGTCCCTGCTGCAGGAGGGGCTGGATGGAGAGAACAGCCATTGTCCGAGGCCGGGCATGGTTTGCCCCTGCAAACAGAAGTCACAAATCCCACCAGTCGGGGGCAGGAGCAGGGGGTTTGGCAAAAAGACAGGCACTCCGAGTTCTTCCTGCCTCCTTGAGCTAAGGTGCCTTTGTCCCTTTGGAGTTTAAGATTGCTTCAGGAATTAAGCGGAAGTTTGTGGGAAAGGTTGGGGAAGGACAGACTCTGAACGTTTTGAGGGTTGAACAAATGGGGGAGGGTCAGAGGCTGGGGTGACTTTGCCTGTGGGGTATGCTCATGTGCTCGGCCCCTACCCTCTTCTCATGAAAAGCTAGGACGTTGGCTGTCCATTAAAACACACAGGTGTGAAAGTTGATCCTTTGAAATTAGGAAGATATAGTAAGGCGTGTTTTTAAGGAAAGAAGCATACACTGAAGTCTCATACTACCACACAAGCTGGCCTTTTTGACACGTCAAAAAATGACAGGTGATTTGCACAAGACCACCTTGTTATCTGGAGCCCTGGTGGCGCAGTGATTAAGAGCTACAGTGAGCTACGGCTGCTAACCAAAAGGTCAGCAGTTTGAATCCACCAGCCCCTCCTAGGAAACCCTATGGGGGAGTTCTACTCTGTCCTGTAGGGTCACTATAAGTTGCAATTGACTTGATAGCAATGGATTACCTTGTTATCTGAAGTTTTTATTTTTTCCAACAGTTTTCCAGTTGCCAGGACTGACTGCCCATGGCTTTCCAGGATGTTCTAGGTGACAGCACTGTCCAATGCAGTTTCTGTGATGGCTGAAATGGCTTATCTGTGCTGGCCATTATGATAGCCACTAGCCACATGTGGCTACTGAGCACTTGAAATGTAGCTAATGTGACTGAGAACTAAATTTTTTATTTTACTACTTCAATAGACACATGTGGCTAGTGGATATCTCAGTCATAGGATGTCAGCCCCTAGAAAGTAAACATGGTGTTTCAAATAGCACGGCGGGGGGAGGGGAGGTGGTGGTGATACAGCTGCTTTCGAGGTTAGTTGGTGATTATACAGATTTTGGTAAAATGACTCCAATGCCACTCTTGCTTTGGCTGCAAAGCCACAGATGCATCCCATAGAAAACACTCAGAATGCTGAACTGAAGACTTCTGAGAGGAGGGAGGTTAAGAAGCAACTGTGCTGACTGTTGTTCAGGCGCCAGTTTCCACTTGCCACTGAGTCAATTCCAACTCATGACAACCCCATGTGTACAGAGTAGAACTGCTCCATAGGGTTTTCAAGGCTGTGACCTTTTGGAAGCAGATCGCCAGGCCTTTTTTCTGAGGAGTCTCTGGGTGGGTTCCAACCGCCAACCTTTTGGTTAACAGCCTGGCACATTAACCATTTACACCACCCAGGGACTTGTGTTCAGGCACATTTGTTGTTTAATGCCTTTGGGGAATTATAGGAGGTCCTACTTCTCAATTTTCCTCCTTTTCCTGATCAAACTTTTTACGATTCTCTCCAGGCACCCCCTTCCTCCCCATACCCCAAGGGCCTGGCTTCTCAGCTCCAGGAACTTCCCCTGTTGGTGTCTGGGCCGAGTGGTCGCTGTTTCCACAGAGATGAGTTTACACTTTCCCATTCTTCATGCCATACCCTTCAGCCTGAAACTCCCTATGCTCCAGGCCTAATGAACCCAAAGCTTAATTTATCAGCATCACTAGGTGTGCTGGGGAGCGTGTGCTGGGCTCTCTCGGCTGTCTTCTGATTTTCCCTCCTGTCAGCAGCCACTTCTTCCTTCTCCTGATTGCTGCTTGGCTAGGATCTGGCTCCTTAGCTTGTTTCCCACCCAAGGCTGGCTTGTGGGATCTACCTACTAGAACCTGGGTGGTGGTTTTATTGATTACAATGTATCTACTAAATAAAGTTCAAGGTTATAGGGGTCCTGAGGTATCAAATGGACATCACCTTCTTGGGTTGAAGAGTCAAATACAGATTACCTTTATTCTTAACAAACCACCTCCCCCATTCCAAGCACGCTGAGCTGGAGGCGTCCGCTAGCATTGGCATGCCTCTCGTGTGCGGCCACTGGAGCAAGCTCACGCCAAAGACTTGCCACCCCACAGTGGTGCACACAGGAGGTTTAGGCAAACGCTACTTGAATGAATGGATAGAATTACCCAGTTAACCACTGACACACCAGGTTTTAAAGGAGTTGAGAACCTGTCTTTTATTAAGGGCCACCAACCCATCGCCATCAAGTTGATTCTGACTCTTAGCGACCCTCTATGGCCACTAAAACACACGAAAAAAATACTGAATAGTGAATGAATCCATTGAATGCAACATGGGAAGTTGGTTTACTTTTAGTGAAAAGAAACCAAAAAACCAAACTCATTGTCATCGAGCCGATTCCAACTCATAGCGACTCCATAGGATTTCTAAGGTTGGAAATCTCTACAGAAGCAGACTTTCTCACATCTTTCTCCCGTGGAGCCACTGGTGGTTTCGAACCGCAAACCTTTCGGTTAGCAGGTGATCGCTTTAAAAAGAGACATCTAAAATGTTTCACTCAGTGTTAGTATTTTGAAAACAGATGAAAAAACTCTTCAGTAAATACAACAGATAAAAATATATGTTAGGCCACACACACATAAACACCTTAAGTCTATAGTATGATTAATTGAGAAAGACAAGAAATCAGGAAAGGGAAAAGACAGGCTTAAGAAGACCAACAGGCAAAATGAAGCAAGATATAGAGGGAGAGACAAACACATTTATTGTAACAACTACAACTTACTAGGTGCCTACGAATGCCAGGCACTTATTTATTTTTACACACCCACACAATCTCTGTTTCTCACAACCACCTTCATTCCCATTTTTCAGATGAAGAAACTTGAGGAATGGGGCAGTTAGGTAACAGCCTATGGTCACTGCGAGTAAGCACCATACATACATACATACATACACAAACATGCTCAGAGACAGCAGACAATAATGCTTGTTACTCATTTAACAAGCAGAAAAACTAGTAATGCTGGGCGCTAGTTGAATCACTGCCACCCTTTGCTTAAGGAAAGAGAGTGTACGCACGAGCAACATACCTTGGCACGGAGTGAAGCATGGCCGTGGAGAACATGCTTAGCTTCAACTTTCACGACAATGGGGCCACAGAGTTTCAAACGCATGTTGTATTTTAGTGGCCATAGCTATGAATTGGGGCTTCACCTGTAGCACTTGCACCACAGCCTGGAAGACATTTACTGGAGTCGATGCTGACGTAATGCAGCCAACTCCCCTCCCCCACCAACAAAGGAGACTGCTCTCTGACTCCGTTAATATTAGTTCCGTTACCATGTAGAGAAAAGATCAGTCTGCATCCTGTCCTGGGTCTATGAGGCTGACCCGTGTAGTTCAAGATGAGAAAAGGGAGGATTGTTGGAAATGAGATTTAGATTTTATTAGGGTCTGGCAGTACAGGCACATTCTGGCTGGTCAGCTATTCAGTCTTTGTCCACATCTCCATTCACTTTCTAGCCTCTTGACCAGGGCGCAGAGACCCATCCTCAGCTTCTCTTTCCTTCCTTTGTTCTCGTGCCCCTGTTGTCTTCCTGGGTCAGGCGTCTCTTCTTATTTTCCGGCCCCATCATTCCCCAGTCCAGGGGGCTCAGCAGAGTGGCCAAAGGCCCCCAGCGGGAGGGATTCCCAGTGTGTGTGTGTTGGGGGGTCTGGTGTCTTGGACCGCTTGTGGTGGGGTGGGGGTGCAAGGAGCCATGTGCACTCAGCAGCTTCATCCCGGGAGGGTCCTCCTCATGCCCTTAAGTCTAGGCCTGAACTTGGCCCGGTCGTGTTCTTTGTGACTCTGCACGACGCTCTCTCTGAGGTCCTGCTGCAGCCAGCCTGGTGAGGGACAGTGTCTCTGCTGAGACCAGCCATCCAAACCCTCTGACCTGCTGGCACATTTCAGGGTGACAGCAGCAAATAGTGCAAAGACGGCCCTTTTTGTGATCAATTTGGTCTTTAGTTTTCTCTAAGCCCCATTGGCCAGGGGCCTGACCGCTGATCTCCTCCCTCTCAGACACAACACAATGGTGATCGGCATTGCGGTGGACATTCTGGGCTGCACGGGCACTTTGGAGGACCGAGCAGCCACTCTCAGCAGGATCATCCAGGTGGCCGTGGAACTGAAAGACTCCATGGGGGACCTCTATTCCTTCTCAGCCATCATGAAGGCCTTGGAAATGCCGCAGGTATGTGCCCAATTGCTTTGCACGGCCCCTTGGGCCTGTGCATAGTTACTGTTCTGTAAAGAGGTTTACAAGCTCACGTGTGTCAAATCACAAACTATTTCAGTCCATCTCGAAAGGTAAACTGAATCTCAACGAATGCTTTGATTACAAAAGCAAAAACCAAACCCACTGCCGTCTAGTGGATTCCGACTCATAGCAACCCTATAGGGCACAGGAGAGCTGCCCCACAGGGTTTCCAAGGAGCACCTGGTGAATTCAAACTGCCGACCTTTTGGTTAGCAGTTGTAGCTCTTAACCACTACGCCACCAGGGTTTCCACTGCTTTGATCAGGAGGCAACTAAGAGCAGTGTCCCAAGTATTCTGGCTCTGTTTTTAAAAACAGTGGGTAGTACCTGGCAGCCCACACATTCTCTGTGATGTACAGGAAGGGGAGTCATCCTCAAGAATAAGCGATGTCCCCAAAGAACCAATCAGGATGATGCATTAGGGTAAAGCGTGTTGCGTAGGAGACTGGATCACCGCGCGTGGGCAATTTGGGGGAATGTCTGGGAAACCAAGACACGGAGGGAGTTTCTGAGAATCCCTAGGGTGGTTTTTCTTAAAATGTGGTCCTCGGGTCACCTAAAACATTCAAATTCAGATGCCTGGCCTACCTGCCATACGACTCCCTAATTTCTGTCATTAGTTTCTGAAGTCAGGCATTTAAATTTATCTGCTTTGACAGGGTGGGGTCAAACATGAAAATCTTATTTGAAATCAAATGGGTCTCACAGAAGAAAGTCCATCCTGTTGTCTCCTTGCTCACAGTGGGCCCTCCCTCTCTGTTCTCCCAAGCCTAGGGGCTTTGAGGACAAGGTTATAGTCCTGCAGCTGAATCTGCAACCAGTAACTCCAAAACCACTGGTCATTGAACTTGGCTGTTTCATACCCCTGGAGTGTACCCAAAATCCTGCCAGGAATTTGCTTAAAATATAACATTGCCACTGGAGAAGACAGCTAGTCACATGTCCTGCAAGTGACAGCATGTTGGAAACACAATTTCCCTGCATTAAAGCAAGATCACCTTAAAAATGAGAAGCTGAACAGCTTCGTGCCTTTTAGGGGAGGGGTCAGCTCCAATTATAACAGGAATTTGTGGTGGTGGTGGGGTCAATTCCAATTATAATATATTCCAAGAGCTATAACCAAAAGCCTTTAGCTTTCAAAATCTTTAAGGTATACTGGAATTTTGTAGGATCAGTATTTGAAATCAGCAACTTATAAATTCAGAAGTATTTTCACGATGCCACAGATTTCTACTATAATAATAGGACATTCAGGAGTCATAAGGTGTTTCTAATTTTCACCATGTTTTTTTTCCTATTATCCAAAACTGCCTGTCACGCTGAGGGCTGAGCTAGCAGGCAAAGCTGACTATGCAGCCCTCCGGCCCAGAGCTTCCTGAGAAGTAAAAGGAAGCATTTTGTGGGATCATTTTGTGGCTGCCGTCCATGACATCACACTCAGTGGTTAAGGACTTACTCCAAACCACCTTCACATGCTCTAGCAGCCTCAGACTCTTCCTTTCCAGAGTCCTCCAGGATATTCAGGGCTTGGGTGAGCTAGGCCGCTGCAAGGGAGGGAAATGGGCAGACCTAGAAGGCTGGCAGGCCCAGGGGAAACCCAAGGTGAGACTCACGCCACTTCCAGACATCATCATCCAAACCTGCCCATCTACTATAGCCACATGGGCCTTCTTCTCTCAGCTCAAGGAGTAAGGGCTTCTTTCAGAAAGGAGGAAGCTGCAGGGACAGAGAGGGAGGGGAGCAGGAGGCTGGGAAGACAGGGCAGCATGGTGTGTGGCCAGAGGAAGACCAGCCCCACAGCTTTTTCCTCCCAGCAAGTCTGCAGGTGCGAAGCCCTTCTCACCTTCCTCTTGGTGTACACGGGGGGCTCCTAGAGGCCCAGGAAATGAATCCCAGCTCTGCCACTTACTAGCTGTGAAGCCTTGGCCAAGTTGCCTAATCTCTCTGGGCTTTTTTTCCCCATCCTCTGTAAAACGGGGCCAAAATACCTGCCTCTTAGGGCTTTTGTGAGGATTAAATCAGATTCCTCGAATGAAGTACCTGGTGCCAAGTTGGCTTTCATTCTCTAAATATTAGTGTCGTTCCTCCCTTCCTTGTTTCATGAAGAAAACAAAAGATACTTAGGCTTGCTGGTTTTATGGTGTGAGTGGGGGATCCTTTGTCTTATGGCAATCACCAAACCAAAAACCCAAACCCATTGCAATCAAGTCAATTCCAACTCATAGCGACCGTGTAGGACAGAGTAAGAACTGCCCCAAAGGGTTTCCAGGGAGCACCTGGTGGATTCGAACTGCCAACTTTCTCGTTAACAGCCGTAGCACTTAACCACTATGCCACCAGGGTTTCCATGGCAATCCCAGTCAGCTGCATATATTGGTGTTAAGTCATCCCAAGGGAAATGACAAGGAATGAGGAGTGGCATCATAGGGTCTGGGCAATCTTCTATGTGTCCCAGACATTACTTACAAGTAACATTAGCTTGCTTTACATTACATTCCTACATTCTTCCATCAGAACAGCCTTTAGGGAGGACAGCTGGCAATGCCCATCGACATTTAAAGTACATATACTCTTTGATCCAGCGTTGCCCCTCCTGGAAATGCATACTCCAGGTATTTCCACACATGAACACAATGGCAAAAATCTTTAACTGTGGTAATTTTGTAATAGCAAAATATATGTAAAACTCTTGTCTATAGAAGACTGACTAAACTGTTAAAGTGGAACGCTCTGCAGACATTTAACAAAATATGTATCATACGTACTAAATGGAACAATTTCCAAGTAAGGAACAGTGAAGTACGTACGGTATGTCTCTCTGTGTGTACAGATACACACATACATATAAGAAATTGGTAAGAGGAGTTGTTTCTGAGATGGGCCATTAGAGGGAAGGCAGGAAGGTGGGGAGGGGGAAGTTGGACATGAGCTTTTCTCTGTACACTCCTTTGAACTTCTTTGACATTATTTTACTATGTCCATTTGTCACTTATTCCAAAATTAAGCAAAAAGGTAATTTTGAAGAGAACCTTTTCCAAAAATGATAACACCTTGCTTTCTTCCAGATCACAAGGTTAGAAAAAACATGGACCACCCTGCGGCACCAGTACACCCAAACCGCCATCCGCTACGAGAAACAGCTGAAGCCCTTCAGCAAACTCCTGCACGAAGGCCGAGGTGAGCGGCAGGGCAGTGTGCACAGCCCCAGTGGCTGCTCCATCGGTCTCTATAAGCGTGTCAGCTCATATCTGTTCTGGTTTGGGCAAAGCATTTCGCAGGGCTTTTCTCTGCACTGTTTGCCGCAGGTTTGTAGTGGCTAAAACAAGACACTGGCTGCCAGTTGCCTCATTCTGTGCTTAACTTTGAGAAAAATATGATAAGGAAAACTTCCCTCCTTGTTTTTCAGAGTCCACCTGTGTTCCCCCAAACAATGTATCAGTCCCGCTGCTGATGCCTCTGGTGACCTTAATGGAGCGCCAGGCTGTCACTTTTGAAGGAACTGACATGTGGGAAAAAAATGACCAAAGCTGTGAGATCATGCTGAACCATTTGGCAACAGCCCGACTCATGGCGGAGGCTGCGGACACCTACCGGATGAATGCAGAGAAGATCCTGGAAGGTAAGAGCTGTTTTTTCTAAGCTGCTCTTTCCTCTGTGTTATAATTGAATAGGAATGAAGGAATAAAAGACCAAGTAGGAAAGGTTAAGGCATGGGCGTTCCATTTCCTATATGATTGATCCATTACTTCCTCTTAATTCCTAACAGACTCAAATCTCCTGTTTTTCCTTTATGTCTTCTGCTGTATCACTGGCGTAGAATGAACAGAGAGGAAGGGTCAAGAAGGAACTGGTCAGCTTGCTTGTTGGTATCTCTGATAAGCCCTACTAGAAAAGGAGACGGACCAACACTAGGAGTTGGAGTTTTATCTAGACTTCATTTCCCTGCATCCCTGGTCCCTCCCTGTTACACTGGTGAGCTCCCTGGAAAGTGTTGGGCAGAGCCTTGTATAAAGTGGCTACAAGTACTGTGGTAACAGAAAGCAGCTCCCTCAGCTTGATAAACATTTATCACAGCCCTAATATGTGCCAAGCACTGTGTTAGATGACTATCCTCAAGGTGCTTACAGGCAACGGGAAGAAACATACATTTCAGCACACGGTGGTATGTGCAGTGAACCAGGGGAGCACTTAGGAAAATAAACTGATCTGGTGAGAGATGTGGGGAAAGAGGAAGCATCTAGAAACAACTTCCCAGAAGTGAGAACACCTCCACTGACTGGTAAAGGACAAAAGAAGGTAGCCAGAAAACTAGAGATGGGGATCCCAGTCAGAGGGTACACTACAAGCAAAGGCATTAAGGTGAGAGAGCTTGGGAAAAAGTGGGGAACCTCAAGTATCTGGGTTTGGGTTCAATGTAAAGTGTGTCAAGAAATGGCCAAGTAGGCTGTAGAGGGAGCTTTGGGAAGGGTCTTTCCATGAAAGACAGTGGCTAAGGAAAAGCCAGTGAAAGGTTTTGAGGGAGGACATCATACGGTCAGATTTATGCTTTAAATTACTCTGGTGTCTGGCGGACATCTGGAGGGCTGAAGGCTTGTAGGCAAGAAGACCACTCAGGAAGAAAGTGCGAGAATGAATGCTTTACCAAGGCGGTCATCAGGGCTGTTTTTCCCTTGTTATATAATTTTTTAAATTCTTCAAGGGCCTGCAGTTTGACCCACAAGGTTAAGAACTATATGGGCAGGAGAGGTCTATTCATTTCACCCCCTGAAGAATGCTGTTGCATCAGAACCAGAATTTGGAGACTGGAACAACTTGCACTGTGTCTGCTGTAGGCTTACGCACCACATACCTGTTTCATTTTTTTCCTCAGAAAAGTTCTCCAGGGTTGGCAGTGTGGGACTCAACCAATGAAAGCACAGAATTCAATTCAACAGATATTAGAATACCTACTTATATAAAACCAATATATTATACTGGTTGTTGCACAAGCCACTATATTAGGATGACTTTTGAGAAAAGTGTGTTTTAAGTTGTTCTTTAAATGTTTATCTGATGGTATTTCTCAGTCAATCCTGCTACAGGTTTATATAGCAAGTTCCCATTGCCAGAAGTGACTGTGACCCAGTAAGGGCAGAGATTTGCTTACCAGCATATCCCCAGCACCCAGCCCAGGGCAGCAGCTCTAAGCATGACTGAATGCAAGTCATCATCTGGCCTCTGGTTGCTTACCTGTCAAGGATATTCTGGCATCACAAGGATGGATGGACTAGGAGGCTTCTAGTGTCCTCTCTGCCACCAAGATCCTGTGATCCAATAGTGGAAATACATTTAATGACAGAGGAAACTACTCCAGAAATAATAAAGGATGAGAATCACAACCCCTTACGACTCTTTGGCTAGAGGTTTCCCCTTCTTAATAGACTTGCCTGAGCATTCCTGGCCTAAAGTAGACCACATCTCTTCTTAGATGGAACAGAACAGAGTTGAGAAACAGACCCACTCATACGGCTGTCAATTGATTTTCAACAAAGGTACCAAGGTAATTAATTCATTGGATAAAGTAATCTTTCAACAAATGGTGCTGAACTACTGAATATCCATACGCAAAAAAGGAATATCGATCCTTACTTCATACCGTGCACAATAATTAATCCAAAATGGATCATAAACTCAAAACATAAGAGCTAAAGTATAAAGCTTCTATAAGAAAATATAGGAGAAATTTTTGGTGTCCTTGGCTTAGGCAAAGATTTCTTAGGACACAAAAAGCATGAAACATAACAGAAAACATTGATAAATAAAAATAAAAAATTTTTGCTCTTAATATAAAGGCAAACCACAGACTAAGAGAAAATATCTGCTAAATATATACCTGATAAAGGACTTGTATCCAGAATATATAAAGAACTGTTACAACTCAATAATGAGAAAACAACAAAGTTTGAATAGACAAAATATTTGAATAGACACTACATTAAAACAGGTATACAAATAAGTACAGGGAAAGATGTTTAACATTATTAGTCATTACCCATTGCCCTTGAGTTGATTCTGACTCATAGTGACCCTATAGGACAGAGAACTGCCCCATAGGGTTTCCAAGGCTATAACTCTTCATGGGAGCAGACTGCCACATCTTTCTCCTGTGGAGCGGCTGGTGGGTTTGAACCACCAACTGTTCGGTTAGCAGCTGAGCACTTAACCACTGTGCCACGAGGGCTCCTATTAGTCATTAGGAAAATGTAAAATAAACCACAATGAGATACCACTATACAATCACTATAGTTAAAATAATGGCAATACTAAGTGCTGGTGGCATGTACAGAAATTGTTATCTTCATATGTTGCTAGTGGGACTATAATGTGGTACAGCCATTTTGACAGTTTCTTCAAACGTATTTACCATAAATCTGTTGCCATCAAGTCAATTCTGACTAATACTGACCATACAGGACACAGCAGAACTGCCTCATAGGGTTTCCAAGGCTGTAATCTTTACGGAAGGAGGCTGCCACATCTTTCTCCCACGGAGTGGCTGTTGGGTTCAAACTGCCAACCTGAGAGCTTACCCACTGCGCCACCAGAACTCCCTATATTTACCATACCAAAAAAAAAAAAAAGAAAACCCAAACCCACTGCCATCAAGTCAATTCTGACTCAAAGTAACCCAATAGGACAAAGTAGAACTGCCCCATAGGTTTTCCAAGGAGCAGCTGGTAGATTCGAACTGCCAACCTTTTGGCTTGCAGCCCAGCTCTTAACTACTGCGCCACTAGGGCTCCGTATTTACCATATGACCCAGTAATTCCACTACTAGAGAAATGAAAACACATGTCCACACAAAGACTTGTACACAAATGTTCACAACATTATTTATAATTGCTAGAAACTGGAAACAATCCAAATATCCATCAGCTATTCGATGAACAGATAAACAAAATGTGGTACGTCCATATAACAGAATACTACTCAACAATGAAAAGGAATGAGTTACTGATAACAAGCAACAATATGGAATAATGTCAAAATACATCATGCTAAATTAAAGAAGCCAGACACAAAGAAGTACATATTATACAAGTCCACGTATATGAAATTTCTAGAAAAGGTAAAATAATGACAGAAGGCAAATCGGTGACTGGCTGAGGTCTAAGGTAGGAACCAGGATTGACTGCAAAGAGGTACCAGGGAAGCATCTAAGGTGACGGAAGTGGTCTAAAACTAAAACTGGTAGTGATGGTTGTATGACTGTATAAATTAACTATAATATACTAAACTGTATAATTAAAATGGGTGAATCATATGGCATGTAGATTATACATCAATAAAGCTGTAAAAAAAAAAGAAGAGGTACTATGGACACTCCTTCCCACAGCATATGGCTTGTCCACACAAAGTTCATTCTATCTTGTTTTAGTGAGTTTGTTGTTCCTTCTCTGAAGGTGCTCAAGTCCTTGAGGGTGGGCTCTGCCCGCCCTTATACAGAAGAGACCCTCTATTTTTCTTTGGGGGCACTTTTTAAAGTTCTGAGAGATGAAGTTCATTTTGATCCTACTTTAAATGAGCAAGGTTTTGGTTGTTTGTAACACAATGTTTTGGCAGAACTGTACTTTTTTTTTTTTTTTTTCCTTACTAGGTTTTCTGCCAGATGAAGAAATGAGTGAAATCTTCAAGACTGAATTTCAAATGAGATTGCTATGGGGCAGCAAAGGTGCACAAGTCAATCAGACAGAGAGATATGAGAAATTCAATCAGATTTTAACTGTACTCTCACGTAAATTGGAACCTCCTCCTGTAAAGCAGACAGAGCCTTGATAAATCTCCAGAGAACCTTAGGATATTCTTTCAAGCTTCTCCGGTTTCTTCTTTGGGAGAGCTTATCATTTGATAAAGTAATAAAGTACAAATCTGACAATATACAAGCTTTTAGTATCCACAGGATATTAAACATGTAAATTGCACAAAACACACTTACTTATTTATGAATTGTTTAAAATTACTACTGATTTTAAATAAATGATAATTTATTATTAAAGCAACTGTTGCCAATATTGATCAGCAAATTTTAAGAGAACACCTAGCTTTGTTGGCTGGTTTCTTTCTATTATCACTGTATTTGACCATTTTTAGTTTTTAATTCCATGTCAGATAAGTGTAAATAGAAGAGTTTTTTTAAAAAGCATGACACATTTCAGAAGGTATCAGTTGTATGATATTCTTTAAATATGAAAAATGTAAATAGTCATGAATGAAAATATATCTTTTTGTGAAATAATTGTATCCAGTCTCTTTTTACAACTTATCCTAGTACAGTAATTCTACCTCCTCGCCTCTTCCCTAGACACCATATTCTGAGAATATACCCAAATGAATAAAGGAGTATTAAAAATTCAAGGTTTCTGGATTCATAGACAGAGTGAATGGTGAAACAAAGTAGAGTTGGCTTCGGAAGACCTGGGTTCAAACTCAAGTTCTGGAGAGTACTAACAAACTTCGGTGAAGGTAATCTCATCTAAAGAAAAAAACAAAGTGGGACAAATAGATAATACAAAGTAAACCACCACAAATAAGACCAAACTTATCATCAATAATCATTCTAAATGTAAATGACTGAAACTGCCAGTTAAAAATCAGATGTCAACTAGATTTAAAACAAAACAACCTTATGCTGTTTACAAGGAACACAGATAAAGCATAAAGACAAACAAAGATTGAGAGTCCGTAAAAAGTCCGGAGAGTTGAGGGAGGGAAAAGGGTGTGATTTTTAACGGGAATGTGGCAGGCTTCTGGGGTGTTGGCAATGTTTTATTTCCTGACTTGGGTGTTGACTTTCTAATAACTTAAGCTGCAGATTATGCATTATTCTGAATGTACGTTTTATAATTTTTAAAAAAATTTTTTAAAATATATGTGATACCTAGGAATATTTCTAACAAAAGATGTGGTAGAACTTTGTGGAGAAATTTTTAAACTTTACTTTAAAAATCTGAAAAACACTAAGAAAAATAAATGGAGGCAACATGCCCATGGATGAGAAGATTCAACATCAGAAAGACATTAACAAAAAAAAAAAAACAACCCGTTGCCATCGAGTCAATACCAACTCACAGAGCCCCTACAGGACAGAGGAGAACTACCCCAAGGAGCAGCTGGTGGATTTGAACTGCCAACCTTTTGGTTAGTGGCCTGAACTCTTAACCACTGCGCCAAGAGCACTCCAGAAAGATACTAGTTTTCCTTAAAATGATCGATAGACGCAATGCAATTCTAATCAAAATCCTAACAGGATTTTTCAAGTAACCTGATAAGCTTTTTCAAAAGTATATAGCTAAGAATAGTCAAGACCATTTTAGGAAAATAAAAGATTGGGGGGTGGGATCTGTTCTACCAAATATAAAAGCTAATTATTAAGCTCTGTCTTTAAGAAACTGTCATTAGAAATTTGACATATGACAGAAACAGCATTGCTGATCAGTGGGGAAAGGATGACATTTTAATAAGTGATTCCTGAACAACTGCTTGAGCAAATGAAAGAAAAAAAAAGTGTTCCTTACCTCATATACCAAATAAAACCTAGATGAATTAAGAAATTCCAAGTGAAAGACAAAACCATAACATTTTTAGTAGAAAATATAGAATATCTTTCTTTGAGTCAGGGAAAATTTTCTTAAACTGGACAGAAAAGGCACTAATTATGAAACACTGACCAATCTACATTAAAATGAAATCATAAAGAAAAAACTGACAGTAGATTATTTCCAGTCGCCACTAACTAGTCGATTCTGACTCATGGCCACCCCATGTTGCGACAGGGTAGAACCGTGCTCCATAGGGTTTTCAAGGGCTGATTTTTCAGAAGTACATTGCCAGAGGAGCCTTTCTTTCGAGAAGCCTCTGGGTGGACGCCAACCTCCAACCTTTCAACGAGCAACCGAGCATATTAACTGTTTGCATCACCCAGGGTAGACGTTAGCAACATAAAACTGACAAAAGAGGAGGCGAGGCCAAGATGGCAGAGTACTCAGATACTTCATGTCATTCCTCTTACAACAAAGACCCAAAAAAACAGGTTAATCAATTATATATGACAATCCAGGAGCCCTAAACATCAAAGGCAAAGCTGAGGAATCTGGACTGAGTGGCAGGGGGAGGGAGAGATGGTTTGGAAGCAGTGAGGAGTTGCCAGACCTGACCCGGCGGAAGCCGGAGCCCCTCAGGCAGGATCAGCTCGCGGTGCACCATGAAGCAAGCAGCAGCACTCGGGAGGCGTTTTCCACATCAGAAGAGACCCCAGTGGCAGGAAGTCTACCCGGGCTTCCAGAACCAGTGAGAAGCAGCCCTCGATTGGCGAAAGATAAGTACTTGCGTCTAGCCTACCGAGCAGGTCAAAAACACTCCCCTTTGGGGAAAACCTCTTTCCCATTTACCTCCCCGCTCCCAGATCTGCACTGGGTCCGGGATGGCTTCAGTGACTGCTGAGTCCCCTGGGCCAGAAGCAGGACCCATCACATGCCCTGAGCCATTCTCCTGGCCTTGGAGCAAATTAACAAACAGAAAAAAATAATCTGCCAGCTCCCCTAAGCTGGGAACTCAGGGTAGGCATACCTCCTTTGCTTAGGCACAGGCATAAGGGGTCCACGGACTTTGGATGCCTTTCACCCTTGCACAGGCCTGTCTGGGCTCATTTCAGCAGCATAGGCCCTCATTACCACAGTATAATGGTATATACCTGAAGCCTAACTTCAACTGTATGAGCTATATGGTGGAGTGGCAGGTTCGTGACATTTGCTCCACCCATTAAGCAGGGTCCTCACCTACCCATATCAAGGGCCTGCCTCAGGACTGGTGGCTCCACCCACGCCACCAGGCCACCCATGAAAATGGTCCAAGAATAAGTCATGCTCCCAGTCCTTACAGCCAACAGCACTGGGGGCTCACAGTCTGGCTGCAAAACCCACCCATCTACGCGCTCTGGAGAACAGGGACGCACTTTCTTCGCAGATACTCAGGGGCAGCCATCAGCCCCCTGCCTTGCTCAGCGTGTGACATCCTACTGCGCCCAGATATGTATTCCTACACCAATCACCCCTGCCTGTCTAGAACTGTAGGGGAGAGCCTGCACCACACACTTGGTTACCTACTACCTGGACACCTGAGCTGCACCCATACAAGAAAAGTAAACAGATTCCTAGGCTAACAAACCTAGTAACAGATCTAACCACCTGGTGACAGGACGTTAGATCTTCAAAGGTGCAAATAATCAAGCTAGCTCACACGAGCAGCCTATTTGGGCATATCAAAACAAAACAAAAAGCTAGGACACAGTAAGCAAACATAAACTAAATAAACATAATAACTTATTAATGGCTCAGAGACAAGTCAATATCAAATCATATAAAGAGGCAGACCATGATGGCTTCAGCAAGCTCCCAAAACAAAGAATCAAAAATTTTCTGGAAGAAGAGAACTTCTTGGAATTACCAGAGATAGAATACAAAAGATTAATATACAGAACTCTTCAAGAGATCAGGAAGGAGATTAAGCAAAATGCAGAACAAGCCAAGAAACACACATACAAAGCAAAAGGAACTTAAGAAGATTAGTGAAGAGCATAATGACAAATTTAATAGGCTGCAAGAATCCACAGAGAGCAATGAGAAATCCAGAAGATTAACAATAAAATTTCAGAATTACACAATTCAATAGAAAGTCATTGGATGTCAGAATTAGTGAGACTGAAGATAAAGCACTTGACATCAACTTATCTGAGGACAAATCAGATCAAAGCATTTTAAAAAATGAAGAAACCCTAAGAATTATGTGGCACTTTGTCAAGAGGAATAACCTAAGAGTGACTGGAGTACCAGAACAGGGGTGGATAACAGAAAATGCAGAGAATTGTTGAAGATCTGTTAGCAAAAAACTTCCCTGAAATCATGAAAGATGAGAAGATACCTATCCAAGATGCTCATCAAACCCCACATAAGGTAGATCCCAAAAGAAAGTCACCAAGACATACTATAATCAAACTTGCCAAAACCAAAGATAAAAAGAGAATTTTAAGAGTAGCTAGGGAGAAACAAAAAGTTGTCTACAAAGGAGAGTCAATCAGACTAAGCTCCAACTACTCAGTAGAAACCATGCAGGCAAGAAGGCAATGGAATGACATATATAAAGCCCTGAAGGAAAAAAATTGCCTGCCAAGAATTATATATCCAGGAAAACTGTCTCTCAAATATGCTGGTGAAATTAGGGCATTTCCAGTTAAACAGAAGTTTAGGGAATTTGCAAAAACCAAACCAAAATTACGAGAAATACTAAAGGGAGTCCTCTGGCTAGAAAATCAGTAAGATTAGATAACAACCCAAGACAAGAACACAGGACAGAGTTACCAGATATGAACCCAGATAGGGAAGTCACAAAAATAAATCAAAGCTAAAACACTGAAAATAGCTAAAACCCAGACAGGGAAGTCACAAAAATAAATCAAAGCTAAAACACTGAAAATAGGGAAACTGAGACGTCAATATTTAAAGATGACAACATTAAAACAAAAAAGAGGGACTAAAAAATGTAGTCACAGATCTTTTACATGGAGAGGAAGTCAAGGAGATATAAAGAAATAAGACTGGTATAAACTTGGAAAAATAGGGGTAAATATTAAGGTAACCAAAAAGGAAACTAACAATCCTACACATCAAAATAAAAAACAAGAAAAACATGAAGACTCAGCAAATACAAAATCAACAACAATGAAAAGAAAATAAAGAAAAATGACTCAGCACAGAAAATTAAGTGGAACAAAGAAACTATCAACAACACAAAAAAAAAGGCATCAAAAGACAGCACTAAACTCATGCCTATCAATAATTATGCTGAATGTAAGTGGACTAAATGCACCAGTAAAGAAACAGACTGGCAGAATGGATAAAAAAAACATGATCCATCTATATGCTGCCTACAAGAGACACACCTTAAAGACACAAACTAAAACTCAAAGGATGGAAAAAAACATTTCAAGCAAACAACACTCAAAAAAGAGCAGGACTGGCAATATTCATCTCTGACAAAATAGACTTCAAAGTAAATCCACCACAAAGAATAAGGAAGGACACTATATAATGATTAAAGGGTCAATACACCAGGAGGACATAACCATAATAAATATATACACACCCAACAACAGGGCTCCAAAATATATAAAACAAACTCTAACGGCATTGAAAAGAGACATAGACAGCCCATAGACCAATTAATAGCAGGAGACTTCAGCACACCACTTTTGGTGAAGGACAGAACATCCAGAAAGAAGCTCAATAAAGACATGGAAGATCTAAATGCCACAATCAACCAACCTGATCTCACAGACATATACCGAACACTCCACCCAACAGCAGCCATGTATACTTTCTTTTCCCATGGAACATGGAACATTCTCCAGAAGAGACCACATATTAGGCATTAAGCAAGCCTTAACAGAATCCAAAGCATCGAAATATTACAAACCATATTTTCTGACCACAAAGACATAAAAGGAGAAATCAATAACAGAAAACGCAAGGAAAAAAAAAATCAAACACATGGAAACTGAACAACAACTTGCTCAACAACTACTGGGTTACAGAAGAAATTAAGATGGAATAAAGAAATTCAAAGAATCAAACAAGAATGAAAACACACCCTACCAGAACCTTGGTGACACAGCAAAAGCAGTGTTCAGAGGTAGTTTAGAGCAATAAATGCAAACATCAAAAAGAAGAAAGGGTCAAAATTGAAACATTAACCCTACAACTAGAACAAGTCAAGAGAGCAGCAAAAGAAGCCCTTGGGCTTCAGAAGAAAGGAAATAATAAGAATTAGAGCAAAATTAAATGAAATAGAGAATTAAAAAACAATTGAAAGAGTTAAGAAGACCAAAAGCTGGTTCTTTGAAAAGAGCAACAAAATCAATAAACCACTGGCCAAACTTACAAAAGAAAAACGGGAGAGGAAGCAAATAACCTGAATAAGAAATGAGATGGGCAATAACACAACAGACCCAACTGAAATTAAAAAAATCATAACAGAATACTATGAAAACTTGTACTCTA